GCCGAAAACGCCCTTTTTCGCCCTAAACCGACCCCGATTGTTTCCGATCCCATCCTAGACCCCCGATGACATTTTAAACTATATTTTAAACACCCAAATACTATCTAACATGACAACTAACTTGATATATCATTCCTTTCGAAATAAAATGAGTATTATAGTATATTTTCGTTGCTCATCGGATACCGTCACCTGTCACGTTCAAACATAATACAAACATGTGAATTCAAATATGATTATCACAAAGTTTATTTTCACAAATATAACATTCAAACCATAAGTTAAAACAGTACATGATCATAATGAAAACGATTAACACATAAAAAATAGATAAAAGTAGGGGCGTTACATATACCTAGTGGCTAGTAGTAATAAACTTTTCAATAGCTTAAAAGTTTAGTAAAAGAAAATAAAAGGAGGACAAATGAAAAATTAAAAGGGATATTTAATATACAAGTAATGATGTGTCGCAATGCCTTGCACAAGTCAACTTGCTAAACATCTATTTTAGTTATTCTAAAAAATTATTTTATCAAACATCTACTTTATCATGCCAAAACACTGTTCATATTACCAAACTGGTCTATTCTATCAAAAAAATATTGATAAAGTGATAAGCCATTTACCAAGAAAGTCTAAAGCGTAATCATGGTATTAAAATTGATCATTTATATATAGTGCATAGAAAAATATCCAAAAGATTTCTTACTACCCAGGTTAATTAAATAAGTAGTACAGATACACTGTTTTGAAATAATGATTCAGTAGTATTTAACAGATACCGTCACGAAAGACGTTTTTTACTAGACTTTCTAGTCTCTTATGATACGTAGTACTTCGTATATGTTTAATGTTAAATGCCAACATTCCTGATTGGGATGATTTTCGAAGTCCATCTCTTGGAAGTGTCACAATGATGTCATCGAAATAGAAGGTGCGTGTAAGCGACCCGCAAGCGTTACAAAAGAGGAGATAGAAATAGTAATTCAATACATAATATATATTTTAAGAATAATTTCTTAAAAATTAATGAAGGACAATTTATATATATACTCCCTCCGTTCCGAAGAGGTTCGTCAACTTTGACTTTCACGTGGATAAATAAATTAAAAATGGTGTGGTTGAAATTTGTGCAGAGGAGAGAGAATTAACTTTAGCCACATATTACTTACTTTAAATGGAAATGACAAATCCTTTTGGGACATCCAAAAAAAAAAATTTGACAAACCTTTTCGGGACGGAGGGAGTATAAAAATGCGATTGAAATTGTTATGAGAAATCATTACAATATAAATATTCACTTTTATATTAACACCAATCATACTCCGTATATAACACTGCGTAGTATTAGTATATACTCATCATCTATTTATATATACAATTATACCCTTGATGAATTCTATGTGTTAATATTTTCTCCACAATTCACTCCTTTACTATCAAAATGCCATGTGGCCACTTTTTTATTTTATTTTATTAACTTTCTCTCTCATATGTAGTTCTTTTAAGTATAAGATAAGCCGGCAAACAATTGAGCGGAATAATTTCTCTTTCATTTGTATTGCTTTTAAGTATAAGAAGCTAAAAAGATAAACTTGCTAACAATTAAGCAAGAAAATTTTCTCTTTCATATGCAATGTTTTTTAGTATAAGATAAGTGGGTGAACTTTTTTCTCTCATATGTTGTGCTTTTAGATATAATAAGATTTTAGATATAAGAACATTGCCATCAGTCGTCTAACAATTGAGCGAGAGATTTCTCTCTCTTATAAGTATTGCTTTTAGGTATAAATAATCGAGCTGACAATTGAGATGAAGAATTTTCTCTATCATATATAGTGCTTTTGGGTATAAGACAAGCCAGTTTACAATTGAGCGGAAGAATTTTCTCTATCATATGTAGTTTTTTTAGATATTAGAATATAAGCTTGCTAACAATTGAACGGAATAATTTTCTCTCTCATATATATTTCTTTTAAGTATGAGATAAGCCGGCTAACAATTGAGCCGAACAATTAATTTCTCTCTCATATGTAAGAGGTTTAGGTATAATAAAAGGATATGCTTGCTAATAATTGAGCGAGAGAATTTTCTCTCTCATATGTAGTTCTTTTTAAGTATAGTATAAGATAGACTAGTTAACGATTGAGCGAGAAAATTTTCTCTCTCTTATGTAGTGTTTTTAGGTATAAAATAATATAAGCCATCTAACAATTGAACGGGAGAATTTTATCTCTCATATCTAATTTTTTTTAGATATAACAAGATAAGTTTGCTAATAATTGAACTCAATAATTTTTTCTCTCATATGTAGTGCTTTTAGGTATTAGTAGAAAAACTTGCTAACAATTGAACCAGAAAATTATCATATATGTAGTTCTTTTAAGTATAAAAGAAGCCGACTAACAATTAAACATTAGAATTTTCTCTCTTATACGTAGTGCTTTTAAGTGCAAATTAATCTGGCTAAGATTTGAGTGCAAGAATTCTCTTATTTGTAGTTCTTGTTTGTACGGAGTATACTTTAAGCCGACTAAGAATTGAGCAGAATAATTTCTTCTCTCATATGCTAGCACTTTTTTAATAGTATTTAATTTTAAAATTAATGTGAAAATTAAGAAATACTACGTAGCAAATTCTAATGAGTGGTGTTAATTCTTTCAAAAAAAATGAGTGGTGTTAATTATTTTTCCCTAATATACTCTTCCTTAAATATTTATGGTATGAGCTTATACGTACTTTATGGTATAAGCTTATTGTACTTAGTGTACTCTTATACATAGTATTTTAAAAGAAATTGGAATTCCATCATTAATGGTACTTTGGTCGGTATCTATTAAAAATTCTGTGTGAAACATAAGTAACTCATAGGACTCCTAGTTTAACATATTTTCAAGAAAAAGGGGCAAATAAACCCATGTATTAACAAAAAAATGTCAAATAAGGCCTTATAGAGGAGGTTATGTCCAGCCATAGTCATTTGGGGCGGTTTCCGGTGGAAATGTTTTATGCAATTTTTGGAGGATATTATTCATTAAGTCTAGTTTACTCATACCAAATTTCAGCTACAACTTCAACCGGGAAGGCATTCAAATGAATTTTGAAGATAATTGCGCAGTTAAAAGCGTAGTTATTTTCAAGAATTTATTTGAATGTCTTCCCAATTGAATTGTTAGATGAAATTTGGTATGAATAAACTAGACTTACTGAATAAGATTCTCAAAGAACTTCATAAAACAATTCCACCGGGAACTTCCCCAAATGGGAACGGCCGGACAGAACCTCCTATATAAGGACTTATGTTTCACACGAAAGTTTTAATAGAAACTGACCAAAGTACCCTTAATGATGAAATCCCGATTTCTTTATTTTCTAACTGATACGGACGTATGTATAAAACAATTACACAAGGGTACAGCCTGTTCTCAACATATCACCGCATCAGCTGGACTATCACCTCTTGTTCAGCCACCGCCGGCCGCCACTGCTGTCACCGGCCGCTACTGCTGCCACCGGCCGCCACCTGCCGCCACCTGCCGCCACCTGCCGCCACCTGCCGCCACCTGCTGCCAAACTTGTCAAAAGCGGTGAAAAGCGCTTAAAAGCGACAAAGCGCAGGCGAGCGCTAAACCTGCGCCTGACTTTTGAGAAGCGCCGCGCCATGAGAAAGCGAAGCTTTTCTGACGCTTTTCCTTGAGCTCGCTTAATGAAAAGCGATCGTTTTTCATGGATTCTCACAAAAAGCGGTAAATTGACCGGTCAATATAAAAAAAATGGTCTTCTCATCTAGACGTTACGAGTTAGGGTTGTTCGACTCTTTCCCACTCCAGACATAGTCGTACTCCAGAGTCCAGACATAGCTGAAGCGCTGAAGAAATCGCAGGTGAAGAGCCGAAGAGGAGTTCTCCCAGGTTACCGATGTTTCCAAGTCACGACTCGTAGGTGAAGAAGAGTAGTTCTCCCAGACTTTCTCGCCGGTGCTGTGCAGGTTCACCATCATTCTATTTCATCATAGTTCTTCAATTTTACGTGATTGTATTTGGAGCCCTGAACTTCCGCAGCTCACTTTACTCTGTTTCAATTTTGTAGTTTACTCTATTTCTATAATAAGCTTCTAAAATAGCCTATAATATATATATATATATATATATATATATATATATATATATATATATATGAATGAAAGAAATCATTATATTATCATTTTCTTGGTAATTATGATAGTTTTAAACAGCTAAATTATATATCATAATGCAAGCATTGATAGCTAATGCCTTTTGTTGAAGAATGAAATCATTTTCTTG